AAATTACATTTCTAAAGCATAGTAAACGGATCGACACTTTTCTCGGATGCTCCATCGAAATTAAATCTCAAATTCATCCTCTCAACTCCATCGCAGAAACATTGAATTAATCTTATTTCTCCTTAATATTTGGATGTCTCCGACCCTTCGAGTTTGATACGCTACAACGTATCTTAAGCACACTTCAATAATTATATACATCGAAATCAAATTAACTCAAATTCAAACCTAATTAAATTTCACTAATAATTAATTAACAATTTTAAGTACAAATAAAATTAAATTTCAACCAATTAATCAAAATTAATCAAATTAATTAATTAAACCTAAATCTAATTAACTTAATTAATTCTAATTCAAACCTAATTAATTTTAAACCTAAATCAAATTAACTAATTCAAACCTAATTAAATTTAACTAACAATTAATTAATAATTTTCAATAAAAATAAAATTAAAAATCAACCAATTAAATCAAATTTAACCAAATTAATTAATTAAACCTATATCAAATTAACCTAATTAATTCTAATCCCGACCTAATTAAATTCAAACCTTAATCAAATTAACCCTAATTCAAGCCTACTTAACTAACAATTAATTAACAATTTTCAATATAAATAAAATTAAAAACCAACAAATTAATTAAATTTAAGCTAATTAATTAATTAAAAATAAATCAAATTAACCTAATTAATTCCAATTCAAACCTAATTAAATTTAACTAATAATTTTTAATATAAATAAAATTAAAAATCAATCAATTAATAAAATTTAACCTAATTAATTAATTAAAACTAAATCAAATTAACCTAATTAGTTCTAATTCAAACCTAATTAAATTTAAACCTAGATCAAATTAACAAGTAATTCAAACCTAATTAAATTTAACTAATAATTACTTAACAATTTCCAATATAAATAAAATAAAAAATCATCCAATTGATCAAAAATAACCTAATTAATTCATTAAACCTAAATCAAACTAAAAATTAATTACTAAATTAACCTAACAATTAATATAAAAAAATGACAAATTAACAATTAAAACTATACAAAATTAATCAAAATTAACAAATTAACCTAAAAATTAACACAAATTAATAATTAGTCAAATTTAACCAAATTAATTAATTAAACATAAATGAAATCAACCAATTAATCAAAATTAACCTAATCAATTAATTAAACCTAAATCAAATTAACTAATTAATCAAAATTAATGTAATTAATTAATTAAACTAAATCAAATGAATAATTAATCAAATTTAACCTAATTAATTAATTAAACCTAAATAAAATCAACTAATTAATCAAAATTAACCTAATTAATTAATTAAACCTAAATCAAACTAACAATTAATTAACAAATTAACCTAACAATTAATAAAAAATAACAATTTAATAAATTAATCAAGTAAATTAAAAATTAATCAAATTTAACCTAATTAATTAATTATATTTAAAATAAATAAATCAATCAAAATTAACCTAATTAATTAATTAAACCTAAATCAGAACTAACTTTGTAAATATTTACAAATTCATGCGAGTTATACTCCCTTTACTATATGTATGCGGAACTTGTATTGGATATCTTGCTTCTTTCTCAAATGTTGCTTTATATCTTTTGAAAGCAATTAGAGCTTTAGACTTTTTCTATGAAAAAGTAAACCCAAGTTTTTCAAATACAATCATCAATGAAAGTAATGATATATCGTTTACCTCCACTCGGAACTAGGATTGATTGGATTGCAAATGATAGAGTGTACAATCTCTAATAACTTTTTTTTATCTCTCTTTTGTCACTTTGGAAATGGGTCTCTTTAACAACACATTCCTCACAAAAATATGAGGAGCTTGTAAAACTCGGAAAACCAACTACCATGTTTTTCCTTTCTTTTGCAATATTCGAAGGCCATCAAAATTTAGATGAGCATAGCAAAAATGTCATAGCCAAGCCATATCATTTAATTTTGTTAAGAAGCATGACTAATTAATATTGTTTAGAAAGAGATGAAACATCTTATTTATGGTCATTGTAACTTGAACAATTAAGCCCAATTTGTCTTCTTAAACTCGGTAAACTCTATCTTTGATAGAAATCTCATAACCCGTCTTTTATAATTAACCAATACTCAACAAATTGGTCTTTAAATTTACAACAAAAAAGACATTAAAAATTGTTTGAGTGGCATTAATGTTGGTTTGAATGATCACCTATCCTTTTCTCATAACCGAGACTTTAGAGTTGTCTCTAAACTTTACAATATCCTGGAATGATTCATCTAGAGTAGAAAATGCTGACTTGTCTCCATACATATGATTTATGCAACTAGTGTCTAGATACCATAAGTTCTTGTTGGTTTCTTCTCTTGTATGACAAACCATAACAAGGATATATCCTCTTTCTTTTCTATAAAATTTGATTTATCTCCACTTTGTCTATTTAAATCGGTTTGACATTCCGACTCATAATGACCATACCTATGACATCTAAAGCATTATATATTGGATTTATCTATTGACTTTGTTATGTAACCAGTTGAATGATGACCATCACATTCTTGTCCTTTCTTTTAAGAATGATGATATTGATTATCTTTATATTTTGAGTTTCTTTGATCATTGTCTCCTCTAACTCTCTATCATCCTTTATTTGCTCTATTTGGTTTCGAATGGTGGTTTTCCATTGAGGCCTTCCATGCTTGCTCATCCTTATCTTGATGATTAAGCTTCTATTCATGAATTAGCAAAGAATTTTACAGACTTCATCAAGTGAGATTTCATTAATTTCATTGAGCTCCTCTATAGAATATACCACAAAGTTGAATTTTGATGTCATGAATTGGAGTATTTTCTCAACTATGGTGATGTCTTTTGTCTTATCAATATGTTTTTACATCCTATTAGTAATCGACATAACTTATGAGAAATAAACTATAACCAACTCATCAAACTTCATTCAAGTCGTTTCAAACTTCGTATGAAGTGTTTGGAGTTGCTACTTCTTTGCTCTTGCTCGAATCTTGATACTTTTTCTTTACGAGTCCTAAATTACTTGAAGGTATCTTTGCAAAGAGTGGTCTCCAATATTGAATGATAAATGGCTTGGAATAGGTAATTATTAGTCTTAAGATCTCTTAACTTCAATCTTTCTATCTCTCGCTTTCTATACATCCGTCACTACTACACCAATTGTTGGTTCTAGCATTCCATTTGAAATAACTTGTTAGTACTCTTTAGATCTCAAGAAATTCTCCATCAACATGCTCTAATGATCACGGTGACCATCAAAGCATGGAATTCGTTGGTTGCATAAATTTGTTTGTTGTTCCCTATGTTGTTTACTATTGTAAAAAAAAAAAAAAAAAAGTTGTTGTTATACTTCTCTTTGTCGAGATTCTCTCTACACCCGTGTTTCACTCACTCTCATACTTTTGCAACCAAGCTCTAATACCACTATTATTTATGTATTATGAGAATAATAGAGAATGAAGGGAATTCTTGATAGTTTTATTCATCAAATAAAAGCCTTTAAAGAGGTTATACAACAATGGATAAAAACAAGAAAATAGCACTAACTTGAAACCGACTTCTCAAGACTTAGTAAGCAAAAGTTATGTATCTTAAATTCCAATAACTCTTGAAGACCGAACAAATTAAATACTAATTTTATTCAATAATAAAAGTTTATTAAACTAATCCCAAAATGGTTCCATTAAAATTCTTGGATCACGAAAGTCCGAGGCAAATGGTGAACTGAAAATTAAAATTAAAAGAAAAGGAGTTAAGTTTATCTTTTGAGTAAGACATGAGTTTTTTTTTTTTTTTCATAAATATATTACATTCTCTAAAACCTAATATTTTTCATAGATACACTTTCATTTTTTTGAAGATAGTAGAAGAAAAAAGGATTAATAGTTTAAGATATCTTTCTACTGTCTTGTTTGTCTTAATTGCGTCATTTAATTAAATTTTTTATTAAATTTATCCCTCAATATTTATTTTACATCTTAGTTTTATCTCTCCATCCAAATTTGCAGGTAACGACTTGAAATCTCTACAAGAGATGCACATGATGTTGCACGTGACAATTTTTTTCCAAAATTAGGTAAATAAATTTTCTGAAATAAAAATGGAAAACCCAAATGCCCCCACTATGAATACCCAAAATCCCCAATCCAGTTTCTACCCTAACCTGACCTTAATTTTCTCTTCAATTTCCGCCTATTGAAGAAACAATTGAGCCTTATCTTCTTCTTCTTTGTTTCTTTCAATAGCCAATTATTATCCAGCAACTCTCTATGCTACCTAATGGCCCCAAAAGCTAAGCCTTAAATGAATAGAGCTGCCCCAACATGATGTCCGGTCATCAAAAGGAATTGACGAGATAGGACATCGCTTGGCCAAGAATTGTGAGCGTTTTAAGGTTCCATTCGAATACAACCCTATTGCTACACAAAACTGGGAAAAAATCCCAATTGAAGACCTCGAGATTAATAGAAATGAAGTGGATTGCCCAAAGAGAGGATGATGTTTCCTTCTTCCTCACATGGTTTCTGGAGGTTCTATTCCACTTCTCCTCGTTATTCGACATGTTTGATTCTGCTTTACCTTGGGAAGATCAAGAGAGGGTGATGTTTGATTTTCGAAATTTACCAGTCTCTCACATGAAGCAATGCTAGCTGGAATGGTACCAGTGAAATGGTTTGATGATGGTAAATAAATAGGGGATTGAAGGGAGAAGGAGAAACAAAATTAGGGTTAGGTGAAGGGAGAATTGAAACTGAATTGGAGATTTTGGGGTTTTTTATACGAGGACATTTTAGTTTTTTCATTTTTCATTTCAGAAAATTTATTTACCTAATTTCGAAAAAAAAAAGTTATCATGTATCCGCCTCTTGTCCATCTCTCATTGAGATTTCACGCTGTTATTTTAACGAAATGACAAAATTAAAAAACAAAATAAATATTAAAAGATGACATTAAAAAAAAAATTTAGTTAGCTTCATTGTCCATCTCACATTTTGAAGACTCATTCGCATACTTGGAAGGATTGACAACATCAATATTCTTCATGAAGGTATCCCCTCCTACCTAATTCGTTTTTTGACATTATCAATCCCGAAAACACTCGTGTTGCTGTGAATGACAAGGTTCCTGTCTTTTTTTTTTTTTTTAACGAGATATAGGGGGAAAAAAAAAAAAGAGTAGGGAGATTAATTAAGACGAGAAAGAAGCAGCAGTTCCTGATTAAGTGACAGAGACAAATTAAGAAAGAGAAGCTGAAAACATATGAGCACAAATAAAACAAGTGCCCAATAAGCAAACAAATGTGACATCTAGACCGCTACTGCATAATGTACATATTGGCCAGTCCCAAACCGTCACCCTCTTTGAAAATTTAATTCTCTGCATTACTTCAATAACTTGATGGAAATATTTCAGTGATCATATCTTACATGATCAGTAAAATTAAATGTTGGAAGATATCATTGCTACTTCATCAGCTGCTAATCTCTCTCACAGTAGCAATTAGTTTTGTTATTTAACAAGCTAAGATACATTCAGCATGTTAGTTAATCTAGCTGGCATTAGTTGTTAGTTTGTTACTTCTTATCTAGCTGGCATTCCAGCTGGCATTTGTTATCTGACAAATGCTTGTAAATAAATATAGCCGTTAGCTCCACTTCAGCAAGAAGACAAATAATTCAAAAGCTGTTGAACAAAGTTTCCGTTAGAAGAGCTCCCGAAGGACCCAAGGGCTTTCACTGCAGCTGCTCTCAAGATGTATTGGTCGATATAATGCAGCAATCGGAGCACCAATGAAAGGTCCAACCCAGAAAATCAACTGAAACAACAGAAGCAACAAAAACAAAATTTACGTGAGCCCAAATATGAAACTAATTAGGACATATATTCAAGGGCACTTAAAAGGTACGCACATGGTCATCCCATGCCTTCTGCTTTTTGTAGACCACCGCAGCTCCAAAGATCCTAGCTGGGTTGATACCAGTTCCAGTGATTGGAATAGTGGCCCAGTGAACCATGAAGACAGCAAATCCAATGGGAAGTGGTGCCGGCACCTATAATCGGGACGTTAAATTTGTAAAACTCAATTGATTATCTATTAATCAGAATAATAATTTCTGATTTTGAAATTTTAGAGGAAAATTACAATTGGTAGCAATTGAGAGGGATCCAATAGATAGGGGCACATACAGGAACATTGGAGTCCCTTGCATTCCTCTTGGGGTCAGTAGCAGAGAAGACAGTGTAGCCGAATAAAAGTACCAATGATCTAAGCACCTAATCCAGTGCCCTTGCTCTATCCCATAGCAAGTTCATTGGCTCCACCACCTTCGTTTGTGTAATAATAAGACTTTTGGAATGCTTTCACGAGTCCACATCCACATACGGCCCCCAGGGACTGAGCCACCATGTATAAAATGGCACGCACTAAGGACACCTTCCTAGCCAAGAACAAACCGAAAGTCACAGCCCGGTTAATGTGTCCACCTGCAGAATATTTACCAAATTTAATAACTCCCATATCCAAAAATAATAGTAAAAATTCATTAATAGATATGATCATTTTACTAACCTGAGATACCAGCAGTGCATTAAACAAGAATAAAGATCATGCCACCAAAGGACCAAGCGATGCCAAGAATGCCAACACCACCACATTCATCCCCGTTTTTGGTTGCGTCAGTCTGGCTCTTGTAACCTATCACAGTCAACACACTGATGTACAGAAACAAGAGCGTGGCAATGAACTCGGAACAATAGCCCAATAAAAAGACCACTGAATGAACTCCTCGGCATCGATCAATTGTGCTGGTGGAGGGTCATGATAGTCCTTGGCACTGAATTCGCCTCCAACTTCAATGTCTTTGCCCATGGCTTTTGATTACTGTATGTGAGTTAGATGAGAGTCGAGAGACAAAGCTAAAGAGTTTTGGTTGCTATTATTTACTAGTAAGTATTGTTGTGGAAGTGTGGAGAAAATGTGGTGATATTTATAGGATGTGCATGGTGAGGAGAGAAGAGAGTGTTCATTTAACTTAACTTTGCCGGCCCAACTCATAATTATGGTTTCTTGATGTGTGGGCTTCTCTGGCCTTTTTTGATTGGGCTACTTTAAAAAATAGTTCCAGTAAGTTCTCTAGGTTTTCTTGACGTGACTAAGCTAGTGGTTGCATTGATGAGCGTGAAGTTGCTAGATGAAAGTTGCAAGTACCTAACACATGCGGTATCAATTTTGTCTTGCTTTCTTAACCGGAACGACAAGGTCACTTGAAAATTGAAACACCTTCACTTAATGTAGCAAAATTAATATAGTGTTTTGATACTAGAAGGAGACCTTGAGCAATGTCACTAAACCCCATCGAGACCAGTTTGTCGACGATTTCAGGTTGCATCAACCCCAGGATTGAAAACATCCATTTCTAAGTATCAAAACACCTTCGATAAATACACAGACAGAGACTACCAAACCGATGATTTAATCGATGAACTGTCGCCCTTGCCGATCCAATGCTGATTACATTGGTATCATAAATATTGTTTTTAGTTAAAACTTCTAACAATTATAGAGCATTAACCTCTATCATAGACTAAAAATTCAAATCTTAGATCGTGCGATTCTTGTATATTCTATGTGTCCTTTTCATTGTTCTGTATGTTCCTTCATCTCTTATCCTTTTCTTTCCATTCTATCATTATTTCATTTTTTTTTTTTTTATGAATATGAATGCGTCATATAATGGTCGATAAAAAAGATAAATAAATAATATATAAGTAGTAATGTAGAATGGGAATTTCCTTTCTCATTGTTTTTTGTTCTTCTTTTTTAGCTGTACGTTTATGGTATCATTAAGTTACCTCAGTTTTTGTACATCAAGACAAAGTTTCTTCCTATTTGAGCATTAAGTAAACTATTTATATCCAAATTGAAGTATTCATAAAAATTCTTTGAGAGCGTGCCTTGATCCAAGTCTGAAATGCCGAAAACTTATTTGAATTAATGTAAAATCATTCTTGAAATATCAAATTTTTAAAAAAATTTAAGATTATTCTTTAACATGATATAAGTAGTGTTTTAATGATCAAAAGATCATAAATTCACTCACATCACCCAATTTTTTTTATTAAATTAAAAAATAACAAAAAATAATGTTAGACAAATTTTAAAGCTTTCATCTAATAGATGCGTTAAAATTAAAAAAAAAAAACCTATATATATATATATATATATATAATTTCTTTTAATAATTAGATTTATCCGTAGTTGAATAATTTTCATAGTGCCAATTAACTTAGACATGCTTGGCTTTTGGAAAAGTGTAAGTATCATGGTAAATAATCTTCATGTAAAATATTTTAAATTTTTGTAAGGTTTAAGTAGAAAGAATGAATAATAGACCATGTTAACCTAATATTAAATATTATTAAATATATTGGTTGGATAACCTCATTTCGCAACATCTTCATACCCAATCTCTCAATTTCTTCTTTGTGTACATAAAAGCTTCTATAAGGACAAATGTTAACCGATTTAACCTCAAGTATCAAAGGAATTTTACTGATCAAACCTCTTCACTCGTGGTAGTGTCTTTGGCTCTTCGAAAGACTCTCGAATATTAGTAGTAATGTTCTAATCTCTCCATTAGTGACTAGTTCTGATTAAACAATAGGTCAGTAATGATGAAAAACATTTGCCTCACTAATCCACATACTTCAAATTTCAATGTCTTATGCATCTTGTCAATCGTTAGTTGTTGTAGCCTTGATCTTCTCCATTGTTTCTTTAAGCTCAATTACTTTTTCATCCTTTTTAAATGAGAGTATTCGAGTTGATAAAATTGAATAAAAATGGAGAGTAAATTTTAAGCCAATAGACTCCTAACATCATATCACAACCTCTTAGGTTTAAGTTCCTAAAATCAGCCTTTAATTCATAGCCTTGCATAAACCAAGTTAGCCTTGGACTTTTGGCTAAACACTTCATCACAACACCATTTGCTATAGTCATTGACAAAAGGGTACTCATTTCCAATTCACCTTTGATCTCCCTTACAACTCTTTGATTGATGAAGTTATGAGTGCTATCAATATCAATTAGGACTTTAATCTCTTTGCTTTCGTAGCTACCTTGATCTTAATGATATTGTTCGCATATTTTCTAGTTAAAACATACAAGGATAATCCATGTTCTTCATAACTTCTATCTTCAATCACACCCTCTACTTTACTCTCCTCTTGTAAATCCATAATTTCATCACTCTCCCATTTCATTCATTTTATTACATATAATTTTCTTCTAGCATATTTATGGCCAGGTGAGTATTTTTCTCCACACCTAAAACACAATCTCATCCTCCTTCTTTGATCATGTAGGCTATTTGGTTGTGTTTTTAGTAGGTTGGTACTAATAAGTTTAGGTTCGGTTTTGGCTCGAGGGAATGTATGGTTTATGGAATTGACTAGTACATGGCTTGTTTGTATTATATGTAGGATATTGAGTTGAAAAAGGTTTTGTGATATTATAGGTGGGTGGAAAGCTTTTTGGAAGGTTTTTATGCCTTTTGGCCATGGCATTCATAGAATTCTTCCTGCCACTTTACTTGTTCAAAAGCTTATGTCAAAGTTGTAGGTTTTAAACTCTTTAACATAGGCCCGATATCTTCCTTAAGTTCGCTAATAAAGCTAGAAACAAAGTAAGATTTAAGCAAGTGAGAATTATTTGTAGTCATCAAGGATTTGAACTCCGTCAAATTTCTTTACATACTACTATTCTACATCTCTCTCCCGATCGTGCTTATTAAACTCCTTCACTATATCTTTCTTTCTATTAAACCTTCTACATGGTTCCTCGACGAACTTTTCCTAATTTTTTAGATTATTTTCATCTATAAATCTTTCAAGCCAAATCTCAACTCTACCTTCTAAATACATAGAAGTAATTTCCACCAATTGATACACTAGAATAAAATTCATTGTGAAGAATTTCTTACAATCGGGAACCTAGCCTCTTAGATTTACTACCCTAAACATTTGTAAATCTACTTTAGGAATTGAGAAATTATAACTTGATTTTACAAATTTAGGTGTTAATAATGACTCACACTTTATTATGATGATAAATAAGTTTTGGAGCTCCGTTTCCTCCATATAAGAAATTTGAAAATGACATCTACTCCTTCTCTGAGTCCTTATCAACTATTACTAATTTGATAGACTTTATTAAAGCTTTAAATTGAAGTTATGTTTGTTACGTATGCTAGTCTATCTACTTCTTGATTGTTTTTATATTTTCATTAAATTCTTATCGTAGACTTTGAAGCTTGTTCTTCATGCTTCCTACTTTGCTCATTAATTGCTAGCATCTTATTATTATCCATCATGATTGATGGTTTATTGACCTTAAAAGAACTTCGATACTAATTTGTTAAGCATTCTTGCTTAACAAGAAGAACTAAAAAAGAGGTTAAGGGAGAAAAGAAGAATAAAAAGATTGAGAAGAGAATTTATATTTGAATTCTATTTGAATTGTAAAATGCTTGAATGGTTTTGATTTTCATCATCTCTTCTCTACATATGATTCTAACTATCGACTCTAATAGTATTAGCTAACTAAGTAAGAAATAGTTGCTACTAGTCAGTTATTAGTTATACTAACCATTTACCATAACCCTAATCATAACCTAGCTAGCTATATAACATTTATCACTTGCCTTCCCTACAAAAGATCTTTGTTCTCAATGATCAAAATAGAACTAAGAGAAACTATAGCTTCAACTCTTCGAAAACCTCTTACGTATAGCATCCTCCATATGCAAATCCTTCTATTAAATAAGCCCTAGTCACCATAGCTTGATTATGTTTCTTTACAATTTTTTCTATCTAAAATAGCATAGGGTGATAGTTTTAACTAACCTACAACTTTAAAGTTAAGCAAAGCTAATGGAAACCATAACATGAGATCCCATGTTGCCTTTTCAATAAAAAAAGAAAACATGAAATGTAGGATGTGTAAGGGCTCCCGATGGTAGTTCTAGCTGATAAGCCACCTTATCAATCTTTTGGAGAATAGTATAAAGCAGCTATAATATTGAGGATTCAGCTTAAATTTTCTTCTCAAAGCAACACTAATCTATCGATATGGTTGTAGCTTTAAGTAAACCCAATATCCTACTTTAAATCCTCTTTTTATCCTCCTTCGATCGACTATCCGCTTTATGCAATATTGAGCTTTGTTTACTTGGGCCCTTAAAAATAGATCTAGTCCTTTTCTTTACCATAACAATTCATAAACAGTAGCCAACTATAGTTTTTCTCTGCAATAAAAATTCCCTTACGGGTGGTGGATAGCCATATAAGACTTGGAAATGGGTCGTTTGTATTGTAAAATGATAGCTTGACGTTATACCATCTATTATGCTAGATGTAGCCACTAGTGCCATTTCTTTGGAAAATTTAAACACATACATCTCAAGTAAGTCTTTAGTTATTGGTTTAACCTCTTTATCCGATTGTTAGTTTGAGGATGATGAGTAGAGCTCATGAGGAGTTAAATGCCTAAGGAATTGAATAACTCCTTCTAAAAGAGACTACTGAAAACTTTATCTATGTTTGTTACAATAGAAGTTGGTAATCCACAGAATCTTATAAATGTGTTCCATAAATTTCCTTGCCACATCTTTGGAGAAAGAAAGACGACAAAGCACAGGAAATGCCCATACTTAGTGAACATGTTAACAACTACCGAATATAGTGTTCTTACTCTCATATTTTGGTAAGCCTTCTATAAAGTCCATGGAAATATCTTTTCGTGCTCCATTTGGTATCGATAATGTTTACAAAGTCTAAGGTAAGCCATTCTCTTTAGTTTTGCCCTCC